CTCATCTGTTGAATGGGGGTTAGAATAATACCACTTCCAGGCAGGGATTGTGGCTGGCACTCAGCAAGCACTCAGTGAGTGTTAGCTAGCTGTTAGTAACTATTATTTTACTATGGGGATGGGTGGGACTCATTGGAAAATGCAAGAATTCTAAAGTAAACAGCAACCATTTCACTTGGAATCAGACCTAATGTGTCAAATGCTTGGGTTTCTGTCTTAAAGGTTGAGCTATCTTTGAAAGGGTCACCCCGTGGGTAAGCTATCACCCCTCCTTGATGTATTTTGCAGTAGGTTTGTGTATACCGGCATGGCCACAATCACATGAGTAACGTCTCGTGTTACATTATGACAGCTACAGTGTCACTAAGCAATAGGAATTTTTCAGTTGCATTATAATCTTACGGGACCACTGTCGTATATGTGGTCTGCCATTGACTGAAACATCTTTATGTTCACACGAGTGCATTTGAAAACACAGATCGTTGTGTTGTTAGATCCCCCCCCCCAGTTTAGAATCCCCTGATCCTTCACTCTCCTCTTGGCTGACATGGTTTTTAGGCCCCTTCCCCAAAAGGTCCGCCCCCTCCAGGCCTCTGTAGTTGGTCACCTTCCTTCTTGAGGGGTGGCCCCAGGACGGAGCATCACACTCCCTCGGGCCTGACTGTCGCGTCTGTGGTCCTGTTGTGCCCCTCCAGGGGGACGCCCTCCTCTCTGCATGCAGCCCAAGATAGGCTCGCTGCACAGTTTTGGCTTCCAGTAAGTTTGTGGTGCACTAGATTTCTACGTCTTTTTTAAAACGAAATTGTTTCTCCACCCTGCATTTATGTAATGTGTTCTTCCAATCAAAAGCTATTCCAGCATGTTCCCGTAAAATTTCCTGCCATGACATTAATCCTGGAAGGCAGCACTGTGTCAAAAGATTTGGAAAAAGATAGATCTGGATTCAAATCTGTATCCAGTGTATTAACTATATGATCTTGGGGCAAATATTTAACTTCTCTGAATCTTAAGGTCTTAAAATATGAAGTGGATAAAACACCGACTCACTTGTCTCTTTCCAGCCTTCACTATAGGCTGAAAAAATGAAATACTTACAGCTATGAGCAGCTACGTGACAGATCTCTGGCTCATGACGCATGAATGGCAGCTGAGTTCCAGGGAGCTGGGGAAGCATGTGCATTCTAGATGACAGGGTCGTTGTGGCCGGCATCTGTCCTTTTTCCCTACTTCTTGCTGTGAATGTAGAGATGGTGGGAGCTGCAGCAGCTACCTGATGACTATGGGGGTGCCGTGGATTGAACTGTGTCCCCCAAAGCCCATGTACTAGAAAATCAACCCCCACTGTGACAGCGTTAGGGGGTAGGAAGTCTTATTATGGTAACTGAAAGGTGGGGTCTTGAAGAGGTGGTTAGATGGTAGGACATGCCCTACTGAAGGGATTGATAAGCTGATGGTTTAATGGTGGTCGTGGGCACGGTTCTGAGGCCTTCAGACTTAGACTGAGCCACACGGCTGGCATCCAGTTTGCGGATGGCCTATCGTGGGACTTCTCTGCACAAACACATGAGCCAATTCCCCTGATGAATCCCCTCTCGTGTATTTGTAAACATCTCCTACTGGTTCTGTCTCTCTGGAGAACCCTGGCTAATACAAGGGATGAGCCAAGAGAATCCGAGATGCCATCTTTGAGAGAGCAGAGCTGCCAAACCAACACCTCGGTTGCCTCTGGACTTAACAGGTGGGGAAAAACCCTAATCCTATTGTTTAACCGGACAAATATGAGGGTATTTAAAAAAGTTTGTGGAAAAACAGAATTGAAAGATGATACGGATTCTTCCATGAAGCTTGGAAGTGCCCTCATAACTTACGCAGCTAACTTGACCTGTGGTGAGGATCAGACCGCGCTGAACACGTGACATGGATTGCTTGATTTCTCGTACTGTTATTTATTCCCATGGAAATACATCTTTAGGGTGTCACAGTCCATTATTCCAATCTCTGAGATCTCTGAACTACGATTGTGTTACCCAAATTACTAGATATTCCACAGAGCTTTGTGAAATCTACAGTATTTAATAATATTCCAAGTTATTATTTAAAACATTGACCAGGATAGGGCAAAGCAGAGGCAGAGACCGCTCCGCTCGTACCGTCGTGTTCACCCAGCTGCGACCGCACAGGCCGTGCTGTCATTCCACACACACTTCTCCATCTGTGCCCAAGAAGCTCCTGAGACACCCTCGCCCAATTTGCAGTGAAACAAAAGTTCACTGTCCTTCTGGGGTGTCCTAGGGAAAGGACAGCATCAGGGCATGAGCCCCGGGGTAACTAGGGCCCCACCCCTGGTCCACTCAACTCCATCCAGAGGATTCCACCAGGGAGTTTATGGATTTTGAAGCACTTTCAAGTCCTTGAAAGATGCTGGGTGCAGTTACAACCTCCCATCCTTTTGCCCCTGGGCTGCTTTTCACAGGTGAGCTGAGAGGCCGCCACATCCTCCTGCTTATGCCTCTTATGCTCAAGCAGATTCTTTCTGGACCCAAAGCTGCTGTTGCTGTTGGCAGAGTCTTTTGCCTTTTTGTGACCTAAACCTTCCCAAGGCCTTTGCTCCTGAAGCCCTTCAGGTCCTGAGAGCTGCACGGCACACTGGTGTTCCCTTAACTGCAGAGCCACTCCTGGGCCTGTCTGCCAAGACTCGGGGAATCTCCTTTCAGCCAGACTGAGGGAGTGTGGACCAGCTAACTCCTTTTGGGGGTGTCTGCCAGCTCTCCAGGGTCCCTCCTCTCCAGTGCAGGGCCTAGTCTACAGGCCACAGACGGTGGCTGAGTCTTTACTCCATGCACCCCTCCTGCCCACCTGCTGGCAACTGGATGGGGTAGGTATTTGACTGAAACTGGGCCAAACTTTCCTCTCCTGAAACTTCAAGTAGAGCCAATGGAGGTTGTCTCTCTGTGTAAGCTTGGGAGTTGAGGGGCGGCCCTTGCCCCAAGAAAGCTGGTCTCTTTGGAGAGCAAAAACCAGCACATAGAAATGGGGAGCTGTAGGAGTTCCTAGTTCATGGTTCCAGAATCTTCCTAAGACTCAACTGTGTTTCCATTCTTAGGTTCCACAAGACAAAATCTGTGTTCTTAATAAATTGCTCACTTTTGCTTAAGTTAGCCCATTTGTCTGTTGTTTACAACACACAGGAAGACAGGGCACGACCTGAGGTGTTCCTGGACGGCAGCAGCAGCAATCTCTTCTACACTGACCCTACCCTCTCTTTAGCAAAGATGGAGAGTGGAGAGTGTGTGTATGGACCTGCTTCTCCTGGAGGGAGCAGGGAGTTTCAAGCAGGGCTATTAGAGTTCGTCAGGGATGAAGATGCTGCGAGTTGAGAGTCTTAATTTACTCACATAAAAAGAGCAGCTGACCTGTTATTTCCACAACTGGGACAGTAGGGTTAGCCCTCAGATGCTCGAATTTATATGGCACCTGGGGCCACAGGGCAGCAATAAGACTAGATTTTTTTTTTTTTTGGTGTGGTAAAATATACATAACATACAACTTACCATGTTAGCTATTTTTAAGTGTGCAATGCAGTGGCGCTAACTACACTCACAGGTTGTGCAACCAGCACCACCATCCATCTCCAGACCGTCTTCACTATCCCACACAGAAACCCCGTGCTCATTAACAACCATTCTCCCCTCCCTCTAGCCTCTGTTACCTCTATTCTACTTTCTGTCCTTATGAATTTACCTATTCCAGGTACCTCATATAACTGGAATTAAAAAAATTACTTTTTTTGTGTCTGGTTCCTTTCACTTAGCGTAATGCCTTCAAGGTTCACCCATGTTGTGGCACACTTCAGAATGGCATTTCTTTTTAAGGTGGAATAATATTCCACTCTATGGATACACCACACTTTGTTTATCTGCTCATCAGATGATGGACATTTCAGTTGTTTCCACTTTTTGCCTATTGTGAATAATGCTGCTGTGACCATTGGTGCTCTGGTTTTTTAATGTAATGGCATTTGGGGACATTTTGATTCTTTCTCTCTCTCTCTTTTTTAATGTTAGGAAAGAACCCAAACTAAATCAAGGACTGGAAGATAGACACAGGTTTCCCATTGCTCTGCACTTCCCTCTCATGGTGTTTATCTCACACAGTGGTAACCGCCTGCTTAACTCTCTGAACTACCCACTAGATTGCTGACCCTGGGCAGGACCTATGTCTCCCGCGTTGTGGTGGCTTTGAGAACTGTCAACCTGGTTAAGCTAAACTACACTTCCCAGAGTTCCCCTTCCTATGTTTGCAGTTAGAGTGGAGGAAAAGGATATCCTTGTGGGTGGTTTGGAGGAAGGAAATAAAAAAGTCCCTGTCACCACGGAGCTCACGTCCACTGTGTATCCCAAGATAAACCACACTGCCAGATGCAAAGTCTGGGGACTAGGTCCTAGTGCTGAGTCTTCTATTAACAATGTGTGACCTCGGATCAAAAGCCCCTATCTCCCCACATCTCAGTTGCTTCATTAGTAAGGTGGGAAGACCACCCTTCCAACCTGCTTCTTGTATAAATGCAATTAGAGTAAATAGCACTTGAAAGACATCTGAAAACTAAACAGCTCAAAAAACAAAAACAAAAAACAAAAACCCCAAATCCAGTCCAGGATATTGTCATAATCTTTTATTATGTATCAAATTGTCTTCAATATAAGTTACAATCTGATTAAATTTGATAGACATTTTTATCTATTTAAAGACAAAAAACAAACCAACCCCCAAACAAACTCTCTCTATGTACAATATCTTTTGTCTAGAGTCTAGCAGACATAGAACCTTTCATTGCAGGATTTCTGCTTAACATAATGAGCAAAAAGAACCAAAAAAAATAAACCAAAGCAACCAAACTAATCCCTCGACTGCAAATATGAATATTGAATAAAGCATTAAAAAAATACAAACACAGAGTAACTTTTTAAATTTAGAAATGCAGGATATTAAAGTTAGTGGCAAAAAAACCCAACCAAACAAAAGCCCCCAACACTCCTCACAGGTAAACTTTCCTGCTCAGGGATGTGAGCTGACTCTAGACCATCTCGCGGCTCCTGCGGATAGCACAGCACAAGATCATACTGAAGATCATGCCAAATATCTGGAAGACAGGAAGGAACATGAGGATCAGCGTGGTTTTGTCAGAAGGAAGGCCGAGAGAAAGGCAAAGATAAGAGTCATGGCAGCTGGCGCCTTCCCTGCAGAACTTTCAGGGTGAGACAAATGAGCCCAGAGCTAAATTGAATGGTCAAGTTCCAGATATTCCGAGATCCCACAGAGGTAGCACTTTTGCTTCCGTCTTTGTGCACGTGTGTGTTTAATATTCTGTTTTAAGACATATTGTGTCTTTTACTGAAAGCTGCTTCTGCCTTTCTAGGCCAGGCCATCCCAGTGAGAGCTGGGTCCCCTATGGGGTTCATGCCACTTATGGGGAGATAGAGGGTGACCCCAAGGAACCTAGTTGGCCCTTGATGGTTTCTAGGGGCTGATTGGCAAGAGAGTGGATCATTTGAAGCTTCCGGTCTTCTTCCTGGTGTCCACCCTCGCGTGGCCTCAGACAGCAGGAGGAAATGAAACAATTCACAGCCATGCAGCTGCTAGTGAACTACTCTGTTGAGGAAAAGGAAAGCAGGTGCGTGATGAGACGTGTCCTGAGGACCAGTGGCGCTACCATCACCTTGCGTTTGCCCCTACACCTTGACGGTGAAGAGGATGGATTCTGGAGACGCCTCGGACACTACACTCGTGAGCCGAGAGGGTCTGATCAACTTACTCTTCTGTTTCTCCATCTCCTAGTAGTAATATGGAAGTACTACTGCGCTGCAGCACCTGCCGTGTAGGTGTGGCGAGGATGAGATCGGGTGATAAACATACAACGTGGAAAACAGTGCCTGGCCCGGGCGTGAGCTTAAGAAACATCGACCACTAAGAAGACAAGACCCCTCCTCCCCGACGTCCCGGCCGCCACTCACCATCACCACGGCAATGCCGATGCCCACTGAGCCGATGATGTGGAATTTGTGGTCGAAGATCTCTTGGATGGCGTCGGGGCAGGACTTCGGGAGGCAAACCAAGACCCGGGTCACCCACAGTCCCCACTCCAGGGCACCTTTTCCCTCCCAAGCACCTGTCCCACCCCAGGAGTGCCTGGTCAGGGAATGGGCTGAGGATAGGAGTCTTCAGGGATAAGAGATGTGCTGGCTGGGGGTGGGAGGGGACCAGGAGAGAGGTGTGGGAGCAGGTCGCTAATACCTGGGCCGCACATCAGGGAGGAAAGAGGGACAAGCCCTGCTTTGGGGTCTATTTCTGATATGGTTGTAAGGTCACTTTTTATTATTCTGGAGTCTGGACATTAGCTTACAATCACGATCCATTTATAAAGTCTAAAAGGCAGGAGTCCCAGACTCAGAAGCGTGCCTGTCCTTGATAACTTGAGGGCTGGGGCGGCGCTGGGTGGTTCAGGGTGCCAGATTGTTACAGGGAGCTAGGACCCTTTGTTATTGCCCTGGTCTGGCTTTGTTTTGTCACCCTTGGGGAAACAGAGGGCCCTGGGTAGGGGAGAAATGATGTGGTCGCCCTGGCGCCCTTTCAAAGTGGAAGGGGTACTTACGACGCGCTTAGATTCCCGCCCCCCCACCCCCAACCAGTTGGTCTACTTCACTCCTCCCCTTGCAGGATGTGCCCAGGGCAGCATGGAAGGGGCACCAGTCTTGCTTTTTAAGTTTACCTTCACTGTGAGGCTGTCCTGCAAGTTCTTTTTGGGGCAGATGTCTGAGATAAATTGTTCCACAACCCCGCCTATACCACAGCAGTTCAGCTGCAGAGAGAAGGCAGGATGGGATGAGAGAAATGAGTGAAAAGGTGGTTAGAACAGGCACGCGCGGGCGTGTGTGGTGAGCGCCCTGCGTGATGCACTCTGCCGAAAGGGTGGAGGGGCCGGGCTCTGTGCCAGGACGACCTACCACGTGGTGGATGACTTTCAGCGTGTCCCGCTGCAGCTCGTCCTTGCCTTTCAGTTTCTCGTAGGTGTCCTTGTAAAACGCCTGGATGTCCTTAATCACCTGCGGAGGACAGGCAGGGGAGTAGCAGAGAGGCTTTTCCATGCACTTCTCCATGAATAGACACGACCTGTTCTCTCTTGCTCACTCTAAGTTCTCAGCCAACAAATTCCTGTGCTCGGAAAATGTCACGAGCAGACGAAGCCACTGGCACCGCCCCTCTCAGGGCCTCTGTGGACCTCCCATCCCCTGCCACAGCCTCCAGCCACTTGTCCTTCTCTCCTGCACCTCTGGTCAGTCCCTTTAGCCCCACTTAGCCCTTCTCTTCTCCCTGTGAACTAAATTGAATCTCCTCAATCTAAAAAAAAAAAAATGGGCCGGCCTGGTGGCGCACTGCTACAGTGCACCGCTTGAGAGTGTGGTGACGCTCCCGCCGAGGGTTCGGATCCCACATACAGACCGGCCGCTCACTGGCTGAGCGAGGTGCGGGCACAACACCAAGGGTTGCGATCCCGTTGCCGGTCCCGGTCCGGTACGGGCGCGACACTGAGGGTTGCGATCCGTTGCTGGACACGAAAAAAGACAAAAAGGAAAAAAAAAAAAATATCCTACTCCTGACTTGGCTATTTCCTCAGGCTTCCATCTTTTTTTCTTCATTTAGGTGTGGCTTTTAGCAAGTTACTAAATTTCTCTGTATATCAGTTGCCCCATATGTAGGACAGGAGATTATAATAATCCCTACGTGTCATAGGTTATTGTAAGGATTTAAATGAGCTATTGTTTGTTGAGTCTTTAGCATTATGTCTGGTACAGAGTAAATTTGGAAAAAGTGTTAGCTATTATATTGTAATACAGGGGATATGTTATTACCCCGTTGTACCTGGGTGTGTCCCAATTTATTTATTTACTTATTTATTTTGGCGGCTGACCTGTAAGGGGATCTGATTCCTGGAAACATTGGTGTTATTTGCACCACTTTCTAACCCACTGAGCTAACCAGCCAGCCCATCCCAATTTAATGCACGTCTGTCTCCTTGACCTTCACCCACTCAAATTAGCAGACTCACATCACATTCGGCATTCTTTCTTCAGCCTTTTTCTGACATCTTTCATAATTATCCCTTCCTATTTCTATGGCTATGGATTTTACTGCTAGGATAATTAAATAGTATTTTTTTAAAAAACAGGGTTCCTGTCTCCAATATATTTCTTTCCCCTTTCTGCTGAACATGAAAAGATGATCCTTCCTAAAACACTGTTCTCATGTGGCCCATCCTGGCCAGAAACTCTTCAGGGCTTCCCACGGAAGCCCAGGCTCAGCCGAGATCCGACCCTTCCTTTGCCCGGGAGTCCCCCCACCTACTCCAAGCTTCCCCCTGATATCCTATCTCTCATTCAAGGCTGAGGTCAGCGCTCCCTTTTCCAAGGAGCCAGAAGAGATTCCCCTTCCCCACTCCACCTTTTCAAATCCCGTGGTGCTTTTGGATATAAATCACTTCTGTGACACTGGTCAAATGCATGTCTTTCTTTCACACTAGATAGCAAAGTGTGGGGACCACAGCTCATGCATCTATGGACCCTGCATAGGGTGTGACATAGCACTTGGCTCACGGTGGCACTTGAACACACATCAACATGTTAGAGGAGGAAGTGAGGGTGTTCAGCCCACAGAAAGCCATGTTTTCCTGAGCAATCTTTCCAGGAGTTGGGGGAGGGGCTGCTAAGATAGTCAGACAGACAGACAGACACAGACCCAACGAGTAGTTCTTGAACATCTACTATGTGCCAGCACCGTGGTTGGTATAATTACCCACACAAGTGTTAATATGCTTATAGTCCCTGCCCTCAAAGAGTGCATGTTCTGATGGCACATGGAAACATTGCAACACCAGAGGCACGTTCGATGGTTGAAAGCCGACCAAAGTGACTAGCCAGGACTCCCTTCCACCTTCCCCATCCCCCATCTCCCACTGTCAAACCCAGATCACTGCAGGACCCAAGAGATCTCATGGGGAAAACCTACCTCATCTTTGTGGGTATACCCCCAGATGGCTGCAGCTATTTCAATGGCAAATATCAGCAAGAGGAAGCCAAAGAACTGGAAGACAAAGAGACACGAGGTGAGAAGCAACACCAGCCAACCAGCCAGAAAATCAAAGGGTACTGTGGTACAAGAAAGAATGACAACTCCAGGAAACAGGCATCTGGGGCACAAGTGGACAGCCCCGGAGGGGCAGGGAAGAGGCTCACAGAGTGGGAAGAGTTAAGCCAAGGCTCAGGCTCAATGTTGGGTTCAGGGAGAGGGGAGCCTGGAGCCGGTGTTTATGGTATTTATGAGATGTTAATTTAGTCAATGAGCAATAAAATACCATTGTCACTCACAAAACCCAAAGAGATATGGGGAAATAAAGGAAGGGAATATGCTTTGTGGAGTTTGGGGAAGACTGTAACACATTTTGAAACAAGGAGAGGAGACAAAGGTACATGTGGATTCAGGGAAAAAAAGCAAACGTGGTCCTCGAAAGAGGGAAAAACAAAGTCCTGGCATTTAGTTGCCTACGGGGAGTGATAAGACAGGCTGCAGGTAGAAGAGGAGGATGCCCACCACAAGGGAGGGTCGGGCTGCCTGGGCAGGGCCAGAGGACGGGCACTGGCGAGGCTGAGGCTGCGCGTGCCCGTGGCCGCCCTCCCCACCCCACCCCATCCTACTCCACCCACTCCAGGGATCTGGGCTGCTGAGATTTGGGCATGGTGGCGGGGAGCACAAAAGGGCTACTCACCAGCCCCAGCATCCACTGGGACTCTTGCGCAGCACCGCAGCAGCCGAGGAATCCCACCAGCATCATGAGGGCCCCAGCTCCAATCAGAATGTAGACTCCTGGGAAGGACACACACATGCAGCTGCTTTTTCTCCTGTGTGACTTCATACCTCCCCCATCTCAGGGAAGAAGGTCCCCCTCCTCTGCCTCTGCTCCTAAGCGTCCTTCCTACCAGTGTCCCTTCCAGGCCCCTGCTTCATCAAGCCTGCGCTCCTGTCTTACCCTCAGCCCTCCTGGAAGGTGCCCTAGTCTAGGATAAAGCATATCTATGGCAGCCCTGAGATTCTACTCAGGACATAAACTGGTCCAGTCTGTCAGCTGTTTCCAGCAAGAGGAATCCACTCAAGCTAGTTAACACAGACCCTCCAAACTCAGGCTAACTTCCTGGGACTCTGACGAGCCCCCCACTGGCCTCTGCCTCATAGAGGAGGCCATCAGAGCAAGCTTCCAGCAGGAGGGGGCTGCGCACACCCAGAAATCCATGCTCCGGAGGGGCCAGCTCTGCCTGATTCCTAGAAGGGAAGGCTCCTTGCTCTGCTGCTGGGTCACAATTAGACATGCACAGTTAGTAACACCCAAGGGCACCCTTGCTCTAGTGCAAAGGACATAGATCTGGTGTCAGAAGACCCTTGTTTTTGTCCCAACACTGTTACTAACTGCTGTGTGACCTTGGGTAAGACACTTTCTCTTTCTGGGCCTCAATTTCCTTAGGCTAAAATTAAAGAGGTTGGTTGCTAGAAAATGTCAAAAGATCCCTGTAGCACATTAAAGAGATCTTACGGTTGCAACTCAGTTACCTCGGGCTAAAGGTGGAAAGGGTCCTCCTTGCTAAGGGGAGGGTGAGTGACAGCATTGCTAAGCCTTCGATGGGGAGGAGTGGGAGACGGGCAGTGACAGCTCTTGTCTATGCCCCAAACACTGCAAATTCATCCTCCTTGCTAAGGGGAGGGTGAGTGACAGCATTGCTAAGCCTTCAATGGGGAGGAGTGGGAGACGGGCAGTGACAGCTCTTGTCTATGCCCCAAACACTGCAAATTCCTGGGACAGGAGGATACGGTGGAGCAGCCTTGCCCCATTCATTCCACAATCTGCCAAGGGAGTGCCCAGAGGGACCCATGCTACAGTTATGTTCTTGAGAAGCCACAGCTGTCCTGCAGGGACTGCCCCTCCTTCCATACACAGTTCCTCCCAACTCCCAACCCCATGAAGACCCCATGAAAAAGCACCAGAGAAATTCCAGGGTCCCCCTGCATGCAGGCATGTTCTAATCAACCCTGGGAGGGCTGTTGGCACTTGTTGAAAGCACTGCCCTGAAGCCAGAATGCCTGGGTTTGAAGGCCAGGTCTGTGACTCTGGGGAAGCCACTCGATCTCTCTGTGCACAAGTTTTCTATCTGCAAAATGGAGATGGTACCAATGCCCGCCTCAAGGATTGTTGTGAGGATTAAGTGATATTATTGCACGTGACAATGTACAACAAACGCTAGCTGCCGTGAGTCTCAATAATACAAGGGACAGGTAACAATGTTAATAACCATAGTGTCCTCCCTACTGTCCTGCAACCAGGACCAGAGACTTCCTGGAAGTAGAGGCTGAATATGGGCAAGAGAGAGAGTCTATGCTTCTGCCCGACACACAGCAGGGTCTGTGATGAGAACTCTTGCAGGTGACACAGTGACCTCACTGTCCCGCACGTGCACTCTCGGCAGGGCCGAGGCTGTGCGGGCAGCAGTCTGTGCAGTCTGCTGCAGCTGAGGCTCGCGGGCAGCACGGAGCAGTACGCACACGGAAGCACTCGCGCCTCCCCCTTCTCCCACATCTGTCGTGATGTCAAGTCATGTGGAGTTACTGGCGTGCCCCATGTTGTATGAATACGGGCATTGTTCCCGTGCATGCTGGCCCAGACCAGGCCAGGGGACAAACGCAGCCTGTCTTTCAGGCAAGTCCCATCCTCCCAGGCGGTCAAAGACTGTGGGGCCACAGGCTGGACTTGGGGAGCCAGTGCAGCCCCATGCATGGGGCACTGGGCAAGGGGGCCCCCTCCCGCGGTTCTCAGCTCTAACACGGGGACACCAGTGGGCTGAGGCAGTAGAACGGCTCCTGTTTCTGCCCATCTCATTGGGGCAAGACAACGAAGGATGAGGTCACTCCTTTGAGCTCCATAGCGGGGGCTGAATAAATGGGGGGTATTAAGAGATCAAAAGGATTTACAAGCACATAAAATACAGTTGGGTGGGAACGAACAGACAGACAGATATGTTTTCTCTAAGTCCAGATCCCAGTTCATGAGCCCGGTGACCCTGGCAGAAGCCAGGGGAGCTGCATCAGCCACAAGTGAACTACTAAAGGGAAAAATATTTCTCATGCAGAAAGAGAACATTCTCTTAATGGGCCTCTCAGTTAGTATTAAATATTCATTTTGGTGCTCGGCAGAGGAAGAGTTTAAGATACGGGGTCACGTTGGCTTTAAATCTTGCTGGGGCAGCTGCAGATGCGGAGAGCCTCGCCCTAGCCCTCTCCAGCCGGGAGAGACAAGCCAGCCCGGCAGCTGTCTGTGGGTAGCAGCAGCAGGCAGGCTGCAGGGCGGCTCCTCTGGGACCAGTCATGGAACCACTGCGGGGCTGGGGTTGCTTCCCTTTGGAAAGGCGACTCATGACCCACACCCCAAGCTTGTTAGCAAAGGCTGGCGATGGTAGATGACAAAGTGTTCCCCTTTATAAAACAAGTGAATGTTAGCTTTCTGTCTGACTCATGGAAAGAGTTATTCATCGCAGAGCCTTCTTGCTGTTTACTGGGCTTTTTTCAGGCTGACATTATAGGCCTAGTGGAAAAAAAAAAAAAAGGAAAAAAAGACTGGTGTAGCAGCAGCATATACCAGGGCGTCCTTCACACAAGAAGTGGAGCGTTCTTTTCCACCTGTTCATCAGGCCTCTTGGCTTAGGCCAAGCAGAGGACACACCAGTCTCCTCTCGCCATCCAATTCACCTGGCAAACAGCACTTGCTACACCTGTTTGCGTGGAGGAGAACAAAATCCAGTACAGCCTCCAGTCTCCTCTTGCTTGAAACAGTTTATTGTCCCCAAATACCTCAAATCAGGGGCTTGAAGGGACCCTAACTGCTCCCAATGGCTCTCTCCTGGTTCCTCTCCTTCCCATGGGCTGTTTGCATTAATAAGCACCATGGTGGGATTCCATCTGCCAAGTACGGGAATTCTCAGCCTCAGATAGGTGGCATGGGTAAGCTGTGCCAGTTGCAGGATGCAGAAAGGAGGCTGGGGCAACAAAGCAAGCCACCTTGGGCACAGGCCAGCCAGGGAAGTCAGGTCACTGAGGTTGATGTGCGTGTGCTAAGAATCATCCAACACCTGGTCGTAGTGGGAGAAGGGTCCTAGGGAGGGGTGGGTACTCACAGCTTCTGGCTGGAGCCCCCTGGACTCCCTCATTCAGTGTCATGGCCTGGAAGGACACCAAGGAGTTAAGAAGGGCTGCTGGCCTGGGACCAAGAAAACGAAGTTCCCCAACATGTTTGCAGCCTGGGATTACAGAGACTGCTGACAGGCTGAGTCTCCCAGGGCCTGAATTGGACAGAAGGCCCATATAAGGCTGTCAGCTGTTCTGGATTCACTGTAAACTGTTCTGAATGTTGGAAAGTTCTTTTTCTGCTCACTTCTCTGCCTGGTTGTGCACTCTTTCTCTACTCTAAGAGCTTTGACTCCACGGGAGAAAAGACACCCCTGGGCTGTTCAGGTTTCCTGAAGAGTCAGCTGCAGGATCAGGCTGGTTGCTCACTTCTCTGCCTGGTTGTGCACTCTTTCTCTACTCTAAGAGCTTTGACTCCACTGGAGAAAAGACACCCCTGGGCTGTTCAGGTTTCCTGAAGAGTCAGCTGCAGGATCAGGCTGGCCTGTGGGTTGCCCCAGTGCAAGGGACGGTCACCCCATGATGTCAGCGACAGCGGCCAGGGCGTAGCTGGCACTCCAAGCTCATCTGCTGGGAGAAGGGTTATGGGTCAATACAAAAGGCTGGTCTCAGAGCCTAATGGGAAAGGGGACACAGACAGTGAAGCCTCCTTGGCCCTTTGCCCGAGGATGACAATGATCCAGTTTCCCCAAGCCTTCAGTGGTGTGCAGGGCTCAGTGGACCCACACAGCCGCTCAGCTTGCTGATGCTCTAGTGTCGTTTGCATCGTCCCTGTTCCCTGGGCTTCCACAGACAGAGTGAGCTCTCTCCCTGCAAGAGAGTCCCACAGCTCCTAGCCCCCAACTGGAGATTGCTGTGTCTCTTTGGCAATGCGCCTTCCAATTACCCTCCTGGTCACTTCAGGCAAGACCGCTGACCACCGGGGACCCTGCAGGGATCTGAATCCTGTGAAGTTCTCAGAGTGGGTCCTGGTTCTGCTAATCATGTGCTCATCACTCTCCTGCCACCTTGCCTGGCCTTCCCACTGTTATCCACTGGCTAGGGCCACCATGCAGGGGCATCTCTCCCTTGACTACAACTTGGGTGAAGTCAAAAGGCCAAGAGATCTCTATCCTGCCCCGCCAATGGGGAGCACTGAGTCAGTGCAACCCTTTTCTACTCCTACACAGGGAGTGCCCCCCCATCTGCCCTCCAACCCCAACCTGGCACAGACCATCCAAGAAGCAGCTTTCATGGGCCTGTGTTCAAATCCTAGCTCTGCCTCTTGAGGGGTATGAGCCTGGACTAGTTGTTTAGACCTTGGTTTCTTTATCTATGACTTGGGAATCATCCCAGGCTCCTTGCAGAGTTATGGGGATCAGATGATGTAACAATATGTGTAAGGCATTGAGTGACAAGTGAGGAAGGGGCTCACAAATGTCAGAGTCGTCCTCCCAATTCCACCCACTTACCAATGAGATTCTCACCTCCCACAGCTAAAAATATATGGAATTTGCCAAAGAATCCTGGACAACAAAAAGAAACACTGGGTTGTTAGGAGTGGCCAGAGCAATGGGAGGACTGAGTGCCTCTTCTGGAGACACACGGGCAGCTGTGAGGCTCTTAGGAAAGCGCCTGAGACGTTGGTTCCTGCGGGCGGCTCTGCCCTGCCCGGAGCTCACGGCTCCCTCCAGGAACACGGCGTGTGTGTCAAGGGCCTCCCCTCAGCACCCCCTTCCCACTGCACAGGGTAGCATTCCAAGCCTGCCCGGACTCACGAAAACGCTCTGTTGCTAAAACAAGCCAGGATACTATGGAAACCTGCTCTCTAAACATGTCCTGAGTGTGCATGCGTGTTTTTTTGCTTTTTAAAAAACAAACAAAAACATTGCACTTTTCTTTCCCTCACTTTCTTTCCGACAGTGAGGTACACACTAAAACCCCCCAACTAACAACAACAAAAGGCAGTAAAACCAGCAGAGCTATCCCCAGGGCTCAGGCGCTGTGTAACCAAACAGGCTGTTTTTCAAGATCCTCCCAATGTGGCCTCCGGGAGGCAGGAAGGAGGTCAGGGAGGCCATCTCCTGAAGGCCTGGAGATAACCCTCGGCAGACTGCTTTCTCCTCTTCTGTAAAAATAACTTCTTGGGTGGGTGGGAAGGAAGTGGCCAAACTTACACTCTGAGCCTGATGACATGACAGCATCATCCTAAAAATAGAGGACTTCTTTTATTTCTCGCAAATGAAACGTTTCTACCTCCAGACTAGGCAGTCTATGAATTTACTCAGAAACTGGGAAATGGCCCTTGACAGATCTCCCACTCCTTTTAGAGAAGCTTTTCATGGAGCTACAGCAGCAGAGGGACAGAATAATTCTAGAAAAATGCCAAAGAGCCTGCTTGTAGAAAGAGACCTGCTGAATCCATTCATGTGCAGAGGATCCCAGGCGTGTTTACATTGGAATCCTTTCCCCTAAAGCAAAAGCAGTTTAAAAAATTAACGCCTAAAACTAAACACTGTGGCACTACCCCAGCACTAAGGGTCCAAAGGACGGCAGAGTCTCCTCTAGTCTCTCCTGCTATTTTTGCCTGTGTTTTCTGGAGGCTGGTCTGCTGGGTCTCAGCGTCCCGATCTGAGCAGTGGGGAAGAACCATGCAGCCTCTACCTGGCACCGCACACCCCCAGGACAAAGATTTTTGAATTAAGGAAAGGATGGAGCCTAAGATGACATGCAATTAAGAGAGAGCATCAGGGATGAGAACAGAGGTTCTTAAGCCCTCAAGAGCGGCAGCAACTTTGGCAGGGCCAACTTCACAGCAGAGAAGGGTCAAAGTGCCCGGCTGAGCTGGCATGAGAGAAACCACATCAGTCATGAGGACAACTACACAAAAACTTGAAGGGAACATGACTGGCTGGTGTGGCCAGAAGTTTTTCTCAAGCCCAAGTCCCTGGGTCAACAAGGAGTCTCCAAAGTAGGAGGCATCACCAACCTCACCTGTGTAGAAGCTGGCATTATTGTGAGATTCTTGCTCGAAGATGCTCTTGGTCTGAGAGTCGAATCGGAGCCATAGTCCAATGGAAAGGACTGCAATCCCGGCAAGCTGCAAGACAGACCAGACATCGACATCAGTTCTGGCTGCCTGGACCAACACCGTCCCCGAGTGCTGAAGGGCGAGACTCGAAACTTGCAAAGGCCTTTGGGACCTCCCTTAGTTTCTGCCCCTCACACACACCTGGTAGCCAGTGGGGTGCGCTTGATCAGTCCATGTGCTGGGAATAAACAATCACCCACCAGCGGTGCAGCAGTAGAATGGGCACTTTACAGGCAATAAAACACTGTGCAGCAGTGGAAACAAATAACTCTGGCCACATGCAGTACTATGACCGCATCTCATGATGCTAAACAGAAGAAGCAAGAGCCCAGAACACTCACTTACGATTCCATGTGGTTAAACGTTACTACACTGCTTAGGGATGCACATGTATGTATACACTTATATGTGTACATATAAATGACAGAGGAAAGAGAAAGTGTGTGATGACCACAAAGTGAGTGGTTACCTCTGGGTAGAGGGAGGGACTTATGCTCAGGAGGAGCATGTGGTGGGGGTGGGTGTCTAGGGTGCTGGCAATTTCTGACATTTGACTTAGGTGATGATTGCATGGATCTGGACACATACATGCACCGGTGAGGGCAGTGGTGACATCCTCAGAGACCACACTGCTCAGTCAACGACAGATCAGAGCCTCCCTGCACTCATCCATGCTGGTCCTTTCCCTGTCCATGAGGCCAACTCCTGGCCTGGCAGTGTTGTCTTAGCTACCGTGGAGGCCTCTGCCAAGTCCCCCCAGTGCCAGCTGAGCTCCCTTGTCGTTGCTGGTAGCAGGGCTTGCGGGGGAGTGACTCCCAGATCTCCAGTGCAGCGGCTGGCTGGACACACGAGTGGGTGGGCCCCAGGTTTTGCTGGTCCACCCTCCTCAGCAGAGGCACCTTATGTCAGAGACCTGCTCTTTGGGGATCTAGGTTCTCTGCCTGGGAGCTGCTGAGAGCCCGCGGTGTGGACAGGCCTCTCTTTCCTCCCGTCTCTTTTCCTCTTCTTTTCCCCACAACATGGCAGTGGGTTTGGACACGTTGGGTGTAGAGTGGAGATGGGACGACAGGAAGGGCCACCCAAGACCCCAGGCTGCAGCAGTCACGGCCTTTTCTACACTCCGGTGCTGTAAGCTAATTTGGTCCCATCACAGAGGTGTGTTTGCACAGTGAGGGTCTAGAGTTCTGTCACTTCGGCTTTCCCATCTGTAACACAGGAGTGGTAAGACGTGGCCCTTCCTTGCCTTTTAAGTATGGCTAGAGCGTAAGGGAGATGGGCTGGATAGAGTGTGGTGCCGATAACACTGAGAGCCAGGGTTCCATCCCTGTACCAGCCAGCCGCAAAAATAAAGAAGAATAAAGAAGAATAAAGGAGATTATAGTACCAAAACTACTTCTGAAGAAGGAGGTACCGAACGGGCTTTGGGAGAACAACTCGAGTTCATGAGCACGAAGGGCAGCCAGCACCGCACTCCTGGCCCTGTGGACAGCCCCCGCCTCAGCTCAGGCAACGCCAAACATCAGTAAGAATGACACGATGCCAAGTGCCCCAGGGCTGGACATTGTCAAAAAGAAAAACTCACAGAAGCCGGGCTTGATGGCGTAGGGATTTTAGAGCTAAAATGAACCTGAGAGTTTGGGGTTCAAACATGGGTCAGGCTTTCCTTCTTATTAATGAAATACACGCAGGTGAGTGAGGGTCTTCTGGGTAAATCCAAAGATAGCAGAGCATTGCTTTATGGGGAGAGGTCTCTCCCCGCTGGGCCCAGCCTGGATACTCTTGTCTGGACCATGGATTCTGCTGGCCTCTGGGGGCACCACCGTTAAATCGGGGGTGGGAGACCCAGCAGGGAGCATCTGGGCTAGACAGAGTATGTGGCTCTAACCCACTTGTCGAGGTGCTGGACAGCACACTTAGTGGGTCTTGACTCCAGGGTCCTGGAGAGTTAAAAGAGGGGAGGTGACACTTTCCCTCCCTCCACCCGACACACAGAGAGTCAGACCCTGGGACTGGAAGACCAGGCTGCGGCCTCCTTTGGAAGGTGGACATTACCCTGAAAACTGAAGGCTAGAGCTTGCGAGGCACTGAGCAGCGTTCGGGTGGCTCTCAGTTTGGGTTAGCACTTAACTGCAGCCCCTTCCTCAGCCTGGTCCTCTCTCCCGCTCTGTTGTGCTGAAGCCACTCGGAGAGCACCTGGGCTTGTAAGGCGTGTTCTCTACTGTCCTTTCTGCTCTAGACTTGTGCTTATCAAGGAATTACCCCCAACTCATCTTATCCCCCCACAGAGCAAAGTCACTCCCCTACCACTTACCTGCCAGGAAAACTCCTAAGCAATGAAAAAATGAAAACAATCCCATGCAAAGGAACTAAGATATAAAAGATCACGTCAAGCTACGCTGTGATCCATGCTTGGATAATAACAGGGTGCCCGAGCACAACCTGCAGGGGTAAGGCCCCTTCCATTTTATAGGAAGCCTTCATGTCAAGGATCCTGAGCCAACGTGTAAAAGTCCAGTCGTTTATCTGGTCTGTGTGTCCAGGTAAGAAGGACGTTGGGCTGGAGAATTGGAACCAGAAGGGAAGAGGAAGCATTTCAGGTCTCACCTCGTCAAGGACAAGGCCAGATACAGGAGTTGGGGGTCCCACGGGTTTGGACCCCACCCCAAACCTAACGTCACGCTGCTTGGTTGTCAAAGCTACAACCAAAAAGGAAAAGCAACCGGCTCTGGAGAAATGGGCCAAGCTATAATGGAGCTCAGTCTTTCATGCTTAAAAAGTCACCACGAAAGAGGAGGAAGCTTCCAGAAACCCAGAGGGAAGGGAGGGCCGGGGCAGGACGGGGAGCACCTGGTTCACGAAAGCCACAGAGGAGTGAGCCCTGCTGCCTTTTCTGACTGAATTACTGAGTTAATGGCCTGAGGGGACACTGTGGAAACCACTGGCTGCCCCATTTTCTGAAATGCTGTTGGAGACATTGCTTCAGTTGGCTGAGTCACGATGGCTTGGGTTTGCAGGGCTGTGAACGGTGTGCAACTGGTGCCACCTAATCATGGCTTCCACGGCTGTCCAGGCAGCACTATCTAAGGAGCTCCAAAGTACTTTCTAGGAGTCACTTCTGGCTGTGGCCCACAGGAGCTCCCTGCCCCCCACCTGGCGCTCATCCCCAGCTGCTTTAATACTATAAGAAACAGAGCAGGAGGGACCAGCAGCAAGAACCAAAGAGAGCTTTAAGCTACAAAAAGGGCACCAAGTCAATTCTCAGTAAGAACATAGGGGTCTGGGAGGCCAAGCAGTTGGTGGTTTCCTCCCAGGTTAATTGACCGACACGTGGCAGCGACGCGGCCACACGATGTCATGCCTGCTGACTTGCTCTTGCTCTCATCAGAGGGTCTGAGCAGGACTGATGTGCGTGCTCAATTATACCTGCCCAAGGAGGACAGCAAGCTGCACAGTCACCAGCTGGTCTGGGGGGACAGAAGGAGAAAGTCCACAGCCTCTACTCCCAGCCTGAGGCCCTGCTCAGACTGCCTGGTTCCCTCTCTCATTTCCAACAAAAGCCAAATGGAAACATTCTGGTTTTGCTGGGAAAAGCTCCTTTGCCATCTGGCCAAAAATGGTTTCATCGATGTGATAGTGCAGAAAGAAAAAGGACACTTTCCCCCATTGTTTTATTGGAAATGTCTTCATTTCTTTACTCATGCTAATTTTTTTCTTAGAAGAAGGTGGGTCACGAGAAAAACATGAGACAAACCTAAATTGAGGACAGTCTACAAAATACTTGACCTGGACGTCCCCAAATGGTCAAGGTCACGAAAAACAAGGAGAAACAGAAACTGCTACAGGTCAGAGGAGATTAAGGAGACCTGGCAGCTGTCATGTGGTATCCTGGACACTTGTGGAAAAACTAGTGAAACCCGAGTAAACCCGGAGTTTAGTTAATGGTGGCGCGCCAACGTTGGTTTCTTAGTTGTGACAGACGTAACATGGTGCGACAGGGGAGACTGGCCAGGAGTATAAGAGAACTCTCTACACTATCTCTGCAACTTTTCTGTAGGTCTAAAACTATTCAGTTTATACATGAAAAATGAAGCTGGGACCTCTCTCTCTCAAAGCTCCCTGTCTCCTTCAACACCCTGCCCCATCAGTTAACCTCTTTCCTGTTTCTGCAATTCTGTCTGTGCTGCCTTTTCACCCTTTGCCAGCAACACATGGGCAGGCCTCTCTGTTCTAAAAAACCAACAGAACAAAGGCAGCAACAGAATCCTCCCTTCCTTCCACCTCACTGCCCTTTCCTGGAGCTCTGTGCTTTCCCTCAGCCCTGGAGCTTGTAGCCGAACCATCTCCAAGTCGGTCCTCACTAACGAGTCACTGCTCAGCTCTCCCAAGACTTCCCGGAGCCTGCCTCAGTGGGTTGCCACGCTCTAATTGAGGCTTTTTCTCAGTCCTCACGTTTTTTGACGCTCAGGAGCTCACACCATTGAAGCCTGCTCCTCCTTGTCTGCTCCTTAGATGGAATCTCTCAGTTTCCCAAATTAGCCTGGTACATTCCGCCTCTGCTCATGCAAGTCCCTCCTCCTGGGATGCTGTCCTGGCCACCCAGACCTGCTGCTTCCCCACGGAGCTCCCAGCTCCTCCCAAAGCCTCCAGCTCTGCCCTTGCTCTCATCCGGTGCTAGCCTCAGGTCTCTCTAGAGCACAAGCCCCTTGAGGTCAGTGTGACTTCTCAGCCATTTTTCATCTCCCCTGCCACATCCGTATTTTGAACAGAACAGTCATTAGCAAATAATTATTCAATAAATAAACAATTACTCCAATGAAAGAGAACCTCTGAAATGCGCCTGAATTTCCTCGGCTGGGTCTTCTCCCTTTGGAGAAGGTTCCCTTCTTACCTGGCTCTTCATCCGGATCCATCTTTTGCTATCTCACAAGAGGCAGAAACTACAAAGAACAATTATTCGCCCTGGGAGAACACCCAGAAGGACCCACGAGGGCTGGCTGGAGAGCATTTGATGGATGACAAAGATTTTTCTTTTTGTATGTGCCAAATGTCACAATGAGATTTAGGGGTAAATCCTTATAAAGTCTTTTGAAAAGCAAAGTTTGAGAAGCCCACGGGTTGCTGTCCTCATTCTCTATCTGCAACTCTACCAGACCTTCACCCCTCAAAAAGAAGTCCAGTTAGACACTCTAATTTTTGAAGAACATATAGGTGACCTGGTCACCTGGGGCTTACGTCAGCTTTGGGAGACATGAAAACCCCAAGCACTGCCCCAAACTCAGGCCCACAATGAACAGTTTTCCTGGTCATCTTCCCTCTTTCCACATTCACCACTGAAAGCACAACTCCCTCAAGGCACCCAAGCAAAGATTAGGATTGCTGTGAGTCAGGGACAGGTCCGGAAATCTTACACTGAAACACACACCTGGAGTTAAAGGAAACATTTCCAATTCCAAAGGAGGATTAAAAAAAGAATCAAAGTGTAGTGGAGCTTAGGGGCATCTGGCTGCCGGTCTTGAAAAACTGGATCCATTTAGAACCTGGGGAGGTGTAGATGTAGGTGGGTGTCTATTGACGGAGACTCCTGAAGTAGGCGTGAGGAAAGATGAGGGACAGGAAGGAAAAGAGACCGGCTGAATGCAGGAGGAGGTTTCAGTGTGGGGGCTGCATCCCATGCCTCAGGTGGGAAGAGCCATGCTTGCCCACGGGACAAATCTCACTTCAAAGAAAAATCCTTTCATGGCAAACAATCTGGGTGGTCTTGGCTAGGGCCCTTTTTCCTCCAGATCCCCTGTTCTGTAAGATGACCTGACTGGCCATACATTTTTTTCAAAGGACAAAATACTCGTTACAATTTCTCTATCCAGCTGTGTTAGAGAGCTCAGAAAGTGGACAGCAGATCACTTTCCACACTGGTTTCTCTTTGAGGTCTGCCTTAGACCTGAGATGGCCACATCTGCCACTTTGGGAGGGGTCGGAGGTGGTAGATGGGGTCCGGGAAGAAGGGAGAGCTGTCTTCCCTACTTCCATTGACCTTCTGGAAAAACAGCAGCTATTTGGTTACTCTGGTGAGCCTGTGGCCAAAGGGATGCTGCACATTTTTCAGTAAGAGACAGGTGGAGTAATAGAAAGAGTAGCAAGCAAGGAGCAGGAGGCCCTGGCACTGCCACCTGTCACCTGCACGGCTGTGCACCAGGGCCTGGTTCTGCACAGGGCGGGTGTCGGAACTGCCTGGGGAATTCTGGACACGCGTACACCTCAGCTCCCCCAGGGGCGTCTGCTGACGGTGACCGATGGACAGGTGCAGACTCGGGGCTGGGATTCTGGTACTGCCGACTAGCAGCTCTATGACGCTCAGCACTTTCCTTAGCTTCTCTGAAACTCAGAGCCCTCATTTGTAAAAAAACATATAGTACGATACCTGTCCTGCCTTCAACCTAGGTTAAAAGTAAAGATTAAATGAGGTGACACATGTAAAGCACTCTAAAAACAGTGAAGTGCCACAGCCAACCAGATTCTGTGGGGACAGAATGATTACGACAACCCCAACAACAATAATGAAACTTGAGAAAAACAGGGGGTGACAGAGGGCATTCTGTGGATATCCCTGTGTGTCCTCCTATGATCTGAGAAGGTGGCTGGCTGGGAGCAGGGTGATTTAGGACACTGGGGTTCTGTTTTCCAGTCTCTGTGAGAGTCTGTGTGCGTGCTGGCTGGTGCGGGAAGATGGAGAAATTTACCTTCTTTATCCCTGTGTGTCCTCCTATGATCTGAGAAGGTGGCTGGCTGGGAGCAGGGTGATTTAGGACACTGGGGTTCTGTTTTCCGGTCTCTGTGAGAGTCTGTGTGCGTGCTGGCTGGTGCGGGAAGATGGAGAAATTTACCTTCTTCGCACCCACACACTGCCTCCCAGAGTTCCACCTGGGTCGACCGGAATGGCCAGAGAGAGGTGGGGAAGAGAGGTTAAAGGGAGACCTGCTCAGACTTCAGGCTTCGTCCTTCCTCAGAGCCTGCTTCGGTGGGTCAATTGCCGCTGCTGAGAGGAGTCATTACAGCAGCAGATGACAGAGAGGGAGGGGACTTTGCTGGGTTGGGCAGGAATGGAAATCTTGATTTCTTTACCCTGCTCTTTCAGTGAGATGTTTATCAGCCCTCGTTTTGATTTTTGTTATTTCGGTGTACTGGACTTGTGAGACCACTTGGCACGGCCGCCCATTGCACTCAGGAATTCAGTCACAGACCAAATACCGAGGATGTGACGTTCCTCTACCAGCCTTTTCTGGGACACAAAATATCAGTTCTGCTTTAAGAAAAGCCACAGAAGCAGAGATAAGGCCCTCTATGTTCACAGGCTTCAGCATTTAAAAACAAGTCAGGCCACCCAGACCTGTGGGCTCTGGGCCTCACCCCATCTCCATGGCAACCTCGCTCCCCACGGCATGCCAAGCCTCGGATGGGCTGATTCACCAGGCAGGAGGCCGGGCCAGCGGAGCCAGCAAGAACCGACAGGATCCCAGACCCCATGGCCTCCTCTAATCTGCTGCCTGCGTCCTCCGCCCCCAACGTCAAATTAAGACAGGAGCTGTTGTCTTTGGAAGGGCAAAGCCACTTGGGTAAGACCACAGGTCTTGGAGTTCTTAGCCAGTCCCACCACACAGTAGAACAACAGCAAGAAACCCAAACTCCACTCCAATCAGCAAAAAACTTGCCATGACTTGCTTTATGTGCCGATCGCAAGTAAACTATTACTTCACAGCAGCACGTAAAGCTATCAGCAAGGGCGTATTACTAACTTCACTTGTATTTAACATGAGTTGAAAAGCCCTAGAGATCACAGCCCTGTGGAACTTAAGTCCCCTTTGTGAGTATGATCATCCTGGTGCCTGGATGGGCAGGCACAGCCCAGGGCCATCTCTCCTGTCTACACAACTTCTGCGCTTGAAATGTCTACCGAGCTACCGTCTTAAGGCAATGTTCAAATCTTCAGAAATCTTGTATCCTCAAAGGCAGCCCAGGAGACTCCTCTCTAGGCCAGCAGTTCTCAAAGTGTGAACCCCAGCAGCTGCAATCCCATCCCAGGCTTACTCAGTGGGAACTCTGGGTGGGGGGCCCAGCAATCTGGGTTTTCACACATCTCGGCCGGGGATTCTGATGCATGCTCATGTTTGGGAACCACTCCTCTGGGCCTTCTTTAAACATGGAACAATCAGGAATGACAGGGAAAAGATCTTTCTGGGAGTTCTAAACCCAGAGAACAGCTTTCTAAATGCCAGTGTTGAAAACATGAAGCTGTGCAGGGGAGGTGGGAGCTTTCTGTGAGCTCAAGGTTCCTTGTCTGTGTAAGGGACAGCTCACAGTGCCAGCGCAACACGGGAACAGAATCTGACCGTTCCTCTGTACACTAAGATCTGGAGAGTGGGGTCGCAAATGCCTGAGCAGCACAACAAAGCCACAGGGAGAACGTCTGGGGACCACCTTGGAACTGCTGCGTGGTGACAGTTAAGGGTGAGGATACAGACAGAAGAAAGTGGGAAGGAGGCAAGAGGGGAGAAACTGACTAGACAGGGCAGGCTGGTTAGCTCAGCTGGTTAGAGAGCGGTGTTATAACACCAAGGTCAAGGATTCAGATCCCCATACGGACCAGCTGCCAAAAAAAAAAAAAAAAAAAA